TGAGGCCTTTCTTTTAATAATTTTTAATTAAGAACTTCGTACGTTGTTCAACAGCAAGGTAGTAGCTAGCAATGATATTGATTGAGGTTTTTCATCATTATAGTTTTGCATGCACCCAATTAATTATTAAGTAGCTAGGAACAATTATTTAATTAATTTTTCAGATCATGTAAATTAACCTCCAACTCTACATATATACATATATATCTATATATATATATATGTAAATCACTTACTTCCTGTTGAATCACCTCATCACAGAGATGAAGAAGAGTGCCTCTTCCGCTATCCAATTGTTTGTTATATACAGATTGCGTGATTAAGTTCTGGTAATTAATTAAATTTTTCTGAAACCTGCAAGAGATATATATATAGAGAGAGAGCATAAGTACCAAAATATGGAAGTCCGAGGACAGATTACTAAAACAGGAACAAATTAATCACTTAAAACAAGAATACAGATCGAAGAGATGCATGGGAAACAATTAATTTTGTTGTCATCAGCCTATATATGTATGTATTTTGCACAAAGTTGAAGAATTAGCTGAAAAAGATATATTCCTATCCATTCCAGCGAAATTAATTTACATCCATGCACATATGCAATGATGAAGAAGAAGAAGAAGACACTTAACGAGAAATATGTTTTAACACAGTAACCAACCACTGCAGTGAGGATGCCAAAAATAACCTTGATGTTAGCTTTAGGGATGCTGAGTGAACTAATTACAGTAACCTGTAAATTAAGATCAGGAAATTAAGCAAGAGACATATATTATTGGAAGAAATTACAAATAATTAAGCTTTTACAAATTTATTTATTTATTTTGAAGTGTGTATACATATATGCAGGATGCAGCAAAACTAACCAGTCCAATTGCAGCAGAAACAAGGAACTTCACCCAGTCCATTGGAGTTAAACCAGGATTTTTCTTTTCTGGCTGTTGAGCATGCATGCAAAATTAAGTTTGCTAATTAATAACAAGTTAACTAATACATGCACATGCATTTATATATATATATGAGCTAAATTAAAACTCACAAGTACAATCTCTAAATCAGCCATTGGAATATTCTTAAAATGCTTTACGTATATATTCCGCTCAGATTCTTTTTTGTCTGCTGTTCGCCTGAACAAATAAATGTAAATGTAATTAAGCTCTCTCTCTGTATATATTATTATAATTATATATCCCAGTACGTAATGCAATACATTAATTAATTAAATCTTAATTTATCAAAGAAAAAAAATTGATAAACATGGAGGAAATTAACGTTCATGCCTATAAACAACAATTATCCTATCAAAGGTAGGCTCTTGGATTGTGATCCTGCTTACCAAATTCGAAATACTGTTGAACAAAAGAGGAAAACAGAGTGAAATCACAAAAATATATAATTAAAGTAGTCATGGATTAATTAGTTTCTACGTACAATACAGCTAAATAATATTAATAATCAAATTGCTTGCATAAAGTTGAAAGTTAAAGTGCTACTATATACCCAAAAATTAACGAGAAAAAAAATGAAAAAGACTACGTGTACGTTCATTCATATTTTATTTATGTCCGGGTATGCGTACGTCTTCCAAATCTTCTTGACGTATATTTGACATGCCATGCCTTAAATTTTCACCATAGATTGCCATGCATCAGTTACATTATCAAGTGTACCGCCTAGAACCTGAGTTTCAACTTCTCAATACGAATTCGTTCAACATATAGGCCATCTTGATGATCTGCATCATCAATTTTGAGTTCAATTTTCTGTACTGCATCCTGTTTACGCTTCCCCAAGAAAATTCTCCTTAACCTACATATATATATATATAATAGTCAGTTAATTTGTTTTTAATTAAGCTGTCAAACACCCTACCCTTATAATTTGATTAAGTATTGACAAAGTTAAGAATATATATAACATAGAGTAAATTACTTACCCGGTCATTGTCATAAAACATCTCCAAACACGTGCAATGATTGTGTTTATTTTTGCGTTAACAAAGAAAGCGGTCATATGATCAATTCCAAAGCCTCGATGGAAGATTATGTACTAACAACAAAATTATTAATGAATTCAGGTCAGAGATATATAGCCAATCTAATTCTATTCGTCTTATTGAAACTAATCATTGTCGCACACAAATCTACTATAGATACTTTAGGACGTTAGAATTAATATATATCCTCCCCTGTTCTTATTATTATCTAATTATAATAACTCAACAGTTGTTATAAACAGTCCCAAGAGGCAACAAGTAGTCACCAGCTTCCTAATTAAGTTGTCATATAATATGATGTTTAGTCATCAAACAATTATTACAATCTTTTCTATTATTAAAAAAGTTTATTAAAATGACATACATAGTTTTATTTTTCACTTAAGTTTTTACAAGTTCAAGTGAAAAATATGCTACCTAATTATATAAACATAATATATATGTTTAGTCATCAAATAGTGGTGATATTAATACCTTATCAGCAAAGTGAGGAAGTTTGTCTCGAGAATGCTTTTCAAAATACCTTTCAAAAAGCCTTTTGTCGACCTACGTCCAACAAATAAACACACTCATATATAAGATAAGCAGTGTGAAGACCACATTACACATGAATATACACATTCAATTTTTTCTAGTGTTAGCACAAAAATCACCTAGCTAATTAATTAAACATCCACGAACCTTAGATTCATCAACTACAATTGGAAGATTTAGACGATATTGTGCGGAGAGTGCAATATCAATCTCATCATCGGTTGTTATCTTGACACTACTAGATTTTGGGAGTATTTCGGTCAAGGACAATGACCGAAATAGTGCATATTATGACCAAATAGAAAATAATTTGGTCAAGCAATCTAACCGACTTGTTGGACCGAATATGGTCTCCCCGAAATACTATTTCGTAGAAATTTTCATTTTGACCGAAATATATGGAGAATTTGGTCAAACAAAATGACGAAATTGTGCCTTAAAATATCAGTAAAAAATGATTACATTCGAACAAAAAATATGACCGAAATAATTAATAATATTTTAATTTAATAGGTCGGTCAAGACGACTGACTGAATAATATGTAAGGATATCTGGTGAGCGAGCTAAAAAATCATCTCTTTTTCGGTCAAGTTGCTTGACCGAAATATATTGGAAAATTCTAGACGGATTTGAGAAAATTTGGTGGAAAATTAACTTTATTTCGGTCAAAATACTTGACCGAAATATGTTGCGAAAATTTGGGGGGAAATTGGAAAAAAATGGCGGTACAATTAACTCTATTTCAATCATTTTCCCTGACGGAAATATATTGGGAAAATTTTCGAGAAATTGCGGAAGACTGCACAATATTTGGGGCAAGAAGGTTGATCGAAATATGTTGTTAAATTTTTCGTAACATATTTCGGTCAAGGTTCTTGACCGAAATAGTGATCAGATTTGAAAAAGAAAAAATCAAATTATTTAATAAATTAATGGTTATTTGGGTTACTTAATGAATATTATAAAAACATTTAGTAGTAAAATAATTCGAA